TGATTTAGCGGCGGTTATCCAAAAAGAAAAAAAACACAGGCAATACGAGGAAAATATGGGGAAATTTGTTCATTGGTTTAGAAAAATAAATTTGCACTGGTAATTTTTTCTTGTGGGAGGAATTTCATGTGTTGAAGTGTCATTGAGCCGAGATAATCCATACAGTACCTCGACGTAGTTAGTCTTGGAATCAGCAATCGTATCTCTGTCGGCCGACTTTATGTGAAGTGCAGTGGGCTTGCTGGTTGTTTGCACTTGATAGTCCTTGAAAACCTTTCATTTTGAGAGGTCTCTAGGACTTGTTAACTTTCTTGAAAAATAAAACTCTTCATGCAGCAAGGAACACAAGCACTCTCTCAGTTAACGTTTTTCTTGCACTTTTTAGGTAGCAAAATCCTCCCAAATGGACGCCTCTCCCCCGTGTCCCCGAAGAGAGGAGTGGACTCCTCCTCCCTTAGGAAGGACTCTTCCATGCCTCAGTCAGTGTACGACAGACTAAAGGTATATACCGTCAGCAACCAGTCAGAGCAAAAAGTATTTCTTCCTTCAGTATGTGCAATAAACGTGTTGTGTGGTGCGCAGACGCTGACCGCGGTGGCACAGGCTGCCGAGGACCAAATCCGGGATCTCAAGGCCACCCTCAGGGAGACCCTCCGCGATGGTCGGCCGTCGCTCATCCCGGACGTGGCCGCGTCGGCGACGTCCTGGCCCAACGGCACAGCGCGGTCGCCGTCCTCCTCCAACGGCAGCGCCAAGGGAGCCGGCGCCCCCGGCAGCCCGGGCAAGCGGCAGCTCCGAGACAAGGAGTTCGCCATCCGCAACTCGCTCCTCACCGACCTGTTCTCCATCAACCACATCAACACCATCTACCACGTGGCCGTGATGGTGCTCATCGTGCTGGTGCTCAAGACCCTGGTGACGGACCTGGTGGAGCACGGCACGGTGAACTTGAGCATGGACCTCATCTGGTACTCGTTCGGGGGCTTCCACCGCGTCATCACCATCTGGCTGGTCATGATGGCGAGCGTGCTCATGCAGTACGTGTTGTTCACGAACTGGGCGTCGCGCCGGCAGCAGATGCCAGGTGAGTTTGATCTTCGTGGCTGCGTTGGTGGTGGTTGCCGTGTCCGCCCCATGCCCCGACTGACACCCTGCCCTGCCTGCAGCTCTGGCTCGTCGCTGCTGGGACGCGGTCTTCCTGCTGCTGCTCGTGGCGTTCGACGCCGCGCTGCTGACGCTGCCGGTGCTGCGCATGCTGCACTACGCCATGCCGTTCGCGTCGTCCTTCGCCCTGCTCACCGAGTCCGTGCGAGTCCTCATGAAGTCACACGCCTTCGTGCGCTCCAACGCGCCGCGGGCGCTGGCCGAGGGCGTCGTCCCCGGCTTCAACCAATTCCTGTACTTCATGTTCGCGCCTACGCTCGTGTACTGCGACACGTACCCCAGGTAAGTGCCCCCCCCCCTCATCTACACCAGAACGCCGACGTCGGACCCTGTTTCTAACGGCCGTTTGTCTCCAGGACGCCGCAGATCCGCTGGCGCGTGGTGGCCTGCTGCATGCTGGAGGTCGTGGGCTGCCTGTTCTACATCAGCTTCCTCACGGAGCGCTACCTGCTGCACATGTTCCGGGACTTCGGCCTGCGCCCCTTCACCCCACTGGAGGGCGTCGCCGCCGTGCTGTCCACCGTGCTGCCGGCGGGGCTCGCCTTCATGTGCTGCTTCTACCTGCTCCTGCACTCCTGGCACAACGCCTGGGCAGAGATGCTGCGCTTCGGGGACCGCATGTTCTACATGGTGAGTGGAGTGGAGGCGGCTGCCCATATCGGCGCCGTCCTCTCTTTTACGACAGGTCGCACAAGGTCCGGCTGTTAGGGGGGGGGGGTGTACCGTGTGTTGCCTACTTACAGGGGTTTGTAGCACAAATTGCGTACTTTTCAGGCGGCTCACTATAGACGATGGGACCCCCCCCCCCCGTACCGCGTCTGGTGAGCGACTAAAGGAATTTGAGCCATATGCCTCACCATCGTAATCACGACGGAACTTCCTCCTTGGGGGCAAGCTGGCCCGGCCACCTGCATCCGGCCCACTATAACTAGACGAGAGAACGGCGCCAGTGGGCCACATTCTTTGTGTGTCTGTCGTTTTTTTTCAGTGATGCATATGAAGTTGTGTTTAGGTAAACTTCATCAAAATTTTCATAACGTTTATTTTATATCTGTTCACAGGATTGGTGGAACCAGGGGTCCTTCTCCGCCTGGTACCGCACGTGGAACGTCCTGGTGCAGGACTGGCTGTACACGTACGTGTACAAGGACGTGGTCCTCCTCGGCGGTAACGGCCTGGGCGCGAGGGTCGCCGTCTTCTTCATCTCCGCGGCGGTGCACGAGTTCATCCTGGGATTCGCGCTGCGCTTTTTCTACCCCGTGCTTTACGTTTTCTTCGGCATCATAGGATGTAAGACTGAGGTTTTTATGAAAGTGTTGCATTTTATTTTATCCCCTCAGTTAAGAGTGTTTTCTCTTTTTCCAGTTTTGCTGTCGTTCTTGACTTTTGGCTCGACAGCGGTGGGAAACGTAGGACTGTGGCTGTCGTTGTTCCTGGGCGACGGCATGATGTTCAGCTTCTATGCCATCGAACACTACGCCCGTCAAAACTGCGAGCAAATCATTGTGAGTGTCAGTTGAAGTTTCTTTTTGTTTAGTTGGTGGTTTTCGAGTTGCTTACTGGGTATAATGTTTTCAGGATTCGTCGTGGGATCTCTTCATTCCACGGTCCTGGAGCTGCGTGGCGCTCGCGTCCAAGACGTGAGCCACTCCGGAACATCCTACTATTCATCCGTATTAAACATTTTTAAGACTGCGTGTCGAATGTTGTACTTACAAGACTGACTACGAAGAGAGGCAGGGTCCGTAGCGTGAGGTGTATAAAAATATAGTTGTTAAAGTTATTGCTCAATTTGTATTTTATGTGGAATAATGAAAAACGCGTTTATACTGCCGGGCGCTATGTTGTAACGAACAGGTCCCTCCCTGTTAATCTAAGTAGAGCCCCACATCGGGGTGGCTGGAACACTTGTCAAGAATTAATTTGCTAGGTCATGTCGTCAACTTTGTTATAACTCTGTTGCCTCAGACAACCCATTTCATGAACACTGCGTACGGAATTTTAACCTGGCTATGCTTTAGTCACCCAAAGTTGTGATATATTTTTGATATTTTACATTGTGCTGTTGTATGTGTATAGTTGGTTTCAGCCTCAAAGATTTAAATGGACGTTTCAGCTACCTTTTAATTCATATAGGGTCGCATTATCTTTTAAGTTTTCTTTATAATTGTGTTTGACATGTATTTTATTCCTGTTAAGAATTAGGCGAAAAAAATATACCTCTGTTAATAAAATTTTGATTGCTCTTTTCAAAACGTGCACGTCGTCCCTGCTACCCACACGTGTGATTGAGATACTTGTTCGTGTCTCCCCGAGCCGTGTAGCTGCCTCCCACTACCACTCTGTTGCCAAGGGTGGCGCAGGGCTGTAGTAAAAGGAACCAGTTTGATACAAACGTACCGATTTGCGTATGAGTGCGACAAGGTCGGAGCTATACGGGAGGGCTGGGGTCCGGGTGGGGCGGGGCTGGAAAGTTTTGGGGACAAGTCCTCGCCTTCGAGGAGTCAATGTCTCTCGGGGACTGAGCTGATCGGCCGGCCCCGGCTGCAGCGAGACGGTCACGAAACCGAGTTCACTGTTGGTCCTGGACTCGGGAGCGCGACGGGCCGGACCGCCGCCACCATGCAGCTGCGCGGCGAGGAACACACCGTCACCCGCAACAACAACGCCGTCAACGAGCTGGAGGCCGTGAGGCTGAGGAGCACAGGTCAGGGTTAGCCAGCCGGCCCAGCCGGCGTGGCCTTTGCATCGGCAGGGAATGAGAATGACAATAGCCTGGTGTAGCTCTGGTTTGGCTACCACCGCCCGCCCGGTACCCCGGAACGCTGCCGGCGTTGCGAAGCGGCGTTCGGAAGGGCCATAGTTCGGTTCAGCAGAGCGGCTGTACGCTCCGCAAAGAACCGTTCACATATTGTAAGTGTCCTTGGGGTGGGGCGGGGGGACAAATACCAGGTGGCTGATTCACGCACTTCTGTAGGTATACTGTACCGCACGCACGAGTGCGAGCGGGCTTGCCTATCGCCCCTGTCCACGGCGCCTTACGAGCCGAGCGAATAGGCAACCCGCCCGCACTCGTGCATGCGGTACAGCATAACTACAGTAGTGCGCGGCGTTAATCAGCCACCTGGTATAATGGCAGCCTCATATGGTTTATTATCACCATTAGAGTTCATTCGTACACTCTAAATGTCCAAGGACAATTTTTGTAACTAGCAACGGACTTCTGTGTGCATAACTAGCTCAGATACAATATTGTAACTACCAAACACACATTTTGTGACTAGCAAGTCACAATATTGTATCTGAATTCAGTTATGCACGCAGAAGTCCGGTGCTAGTTGCAAAAAATTGTCCTTGACATTTAGAGTGTACCGCATGATATTCGTACCCCGAGGTGAAGACATCGTGTGGTCCCCCAAGTCCCCAAGTCCCTCTATTATAGTGATCCTGAACCTGAGGGGAGGCCATAGAACGTGGTGTCCGAACGGTTCCTGCGGGGATCATCCAGAAAGTACGTTCGCGCATCGCCGTTACGAGCTTGCCGAAGTTCATCCTTTCTGAGCTCTCATGGCGCCTTGTAGGTAGGCAACATCTGTGCATGCGTGTACTGCGGGGCGGCCTACCCTCAGGTTCGCAGGCGCCGAGCTCCCGTACTTTGCGGAATGTATTGTAGAATCACGGACTGATATTGTCTGGCCGATCCCTTATAGGATGTGGTTCCCCCAGCAGTACTGAGTACGCGGAGTACACTCGGCCCGAGAGACTCGGGGGTGAGGTCGGAGCGAGTCAGAGTACCTCGAGTACATTCGGAGTACAGTACACCCGGAGCGCTGTCAGCCCGGGACACAGGAAGACACCTACCAGTCGTTGACCCCTCCCCCCTCCCCGGGCAGGGGCACCAAAATGTGGTCCCGGGCGTTAATAGCCTTACTGAGCCGGGCAGTTGCAGCAGGGGACAGGGGAGCGGTATTCGCGTTAAGCTACTGATGCTTTCAAGGAAAACTCCTTAAAAAGTTAATACAAAATGGAGAAAAAATAATTTGATGATCAATAAAGTGACCCCCACAATTTGTGGGAATTTCCACCTTTGCAAAACTTCTCCATAGTCTGGAAGAGAATTCGCGGATTGGATTGGTGTGCGAGCGAAATCTCTTCGACCGCACCTTTGGGTGAGTATTATAGTCCAAAAAGTGTGTGAATTTAAATTTACTTCCACGCAAAAAACAAAAACAAACAAACAATAATTCAAAAATGCACAGTTTTGTGGATTTTCTGTCAGATCCCCGTTAACTTCCATAGAATGCAGTGGAAATGCCTCTACACCAAGAACTTATTCGCCTTGTGCCTGCAAGCCTGAAGTCGAGCCGCTGCCTCCACACCGGTGCTTTGCGGGTTGGCGTACCTCGTGTATTGTATGAGCTTTTCATTGGTGAAGCGGGGGCGGGGCGCTAGAAGAGTCGTGATAATGGTTTGGTCAGCTACCCAGTGCACCCAGCACCGGGGGACAGGGGGGAGGGGAGAATGAAAACGAGGCGTTATCGTTTTTTGTAAGGGGTCGTCCAGAGAGTACGTACGTGTTGCTCAGGTTCAGTGGGCGAATCACGCGAGATTGACCCCTGCGAGACTCTGGGTAGTCCACCCTACAGTACACGCATGCTCTGGAAGCAAGATATTGCCTACCTAACAGGCGCTGAGAGAACTTGCGTTGGCTGAACTTCGCAGGTTCCCAACGAAAAATGAGCGGGAATAAGGGGGTAGCATAGCGACTCAAAATCAAAATTTTTGTAAAGTTTATTTTTTTCATGCTAATTGTTTGAACATTCCCTGACTTTCATTAAAACGATTTTTCGGCGTTCGAAACCATTCGGTCCTAGTGGCTACCGGCGCGAACGTGAAAGTGGCCCAATAAATGCGCTAAACGCTTCCGCGCTGGCCGCCGGGCGGTTTGAATAGCGCGCCTGGAGCTGCTAAGCCAGGCAGGCTGAGCCGGCGTGGCGAGCGCTCCTGGCGGCTGGAGGGAGAACCACGCTAGTCCCCTCTCCTCTTCTTTCCAGCCTTACCTCACCTCATCACTCTGTAGGCTTCGGTACCTGCAAATTGTTTTGGCAGTCTTCATTTCACTTCCTTGATTGTTTAGTAGTTGTTACTTATTGTGAGTCTAAAACATCCTATGAAGCCTGCAGGGCAATGATTAAGTCCGTTGATACGATGCTCTGACAAACGTCATGAGAACTAAGTCACTAAAAGAACAAGACGGCGCAGGCGAAACGCGAGTGCTGGTAAGGTTAGTTCGGGACGGGACATTTCATCGTACCCATCTCATGGGCGCACTTGAATGGTAATTTGATGATCCTTCAAATGCAATACCGTTGGGTTTAATCCGTGAGAGGAAACCCAACGCAACTCGTAAGCAAAGTCCGGTGCTGGTCTACCTATTGCCAGTCCTTGAATATGAATAATTTCCATTTTGAAAGCTTCCCGCCTCTACGTCTCGCCGGTAGTAGGGGTAAAGGCTCGACCAATCAGGAACCCTCACTGGAAATGCAAGTGTGTGAATGTCGCTCACCTGCAGGTGAACGGATTTCAAACACACACCAAGCGGAGAATGTCGACAATAATTCAATATCGACCGGGGATCAACGCTTTGCGACATGGCCTCATTCGAATGTTCGCGCTGTTTTGATCCCCAGATGATCGTCGCTTGTCCCGAAGTGCACCTGCCCTGGCACAGGTTGCCGAGGACCAAATCCGTGATCTCAAGGCCGCCATGGGGGAGACCCGCCGCGACGGCAGCCCCAAGGCAGACGGCGCCCCCGGTAGCCGGCGCAAGCGGCACCTCCCTGACAAGGAGTTCCATGTCCGCAACTCGCTCCTCAGCAGCCTGTTCTTCTTAGACCACATCAACACCATCTACCACGTGGCCGTGATGGTGCTCATCGTGCTGGTGCTCAAGACCCTGGTGACGGACCTGGTGGAGCACGGCACGGTCAACTTGAGCATGGACCTGATCTGGTACTCGTTCGGGGGCTTCCACCGTGCCATCATCATCTGGCTGGTCATGATGGCGAGCGTGCTCATGCAGTACGTGTTCTTCACGAACTGGGCGTCGCGCCGGCAGCAGATGCCAGGTGAGTTTGATCTTCGTGGTTGCGTTGGTGGTTGTTACTGTGTCCGTGCCCCGACTGACACCCTGCCCTGCCTGCAGCTCTGGCTCGTCGCTGCTGGGACGCGGTCTTCCTGCTGCTGCTCGTGGCGTT